GCTGCTTCGCCGGGCGGCGTGCCTGCTCGCACCGCTGCGCTCTTCCGCAAATACGACGCTGACGGCTCAGGCGACCGCCACTCTACAGATAGCACCGAGCCGTGCGGCCGCGCGACGAGAGCTAGCGTCGCCACAGCATGCGCAGGAGTGGCCCTCTCTTGTCGCTTCCGAGCGGGAGTGGCCTTCTCTTGTCGCTTGTCAGGCGGCCTTTCGTTTGCCGAGATAGAGAAGGCGCTCTGCGAGGACTTCCCGTCGATGCCTGCGTACGCGAGAGAGCACCTGCCCGTCGCCTTCAAGCAGTACGCCGAGGGAGAGACTCTCTCGCTGCCCGGCTTCATGAAGATGCATGCAGGCGCCGCGTGCCGCCGAGATGCCACCCTGCCCAGACACAGTCATACGTGACCATCGGCCGCCTGCCTCGCCGCAGCCTTCCTCTTCCGCAACTTCGACGTCGACGCCAACGGCGTCGACGCGGACCTTTGCCCGAGAAGTGTGCGGCGAGACGTGCACATGTCATGTCCGTGTGCAGGCGCGTCCCTGGCACTCCGAGACCTTCCCGTGACCTTCCGAGAGGCGTCCGTGACACGTCCGTGACATGTCCCACGTCCCTGCAGGCGTCCTCGACTTGGCCGAGGCGGAGGCGGCGCTCACCTGGCCAGACGCCCCCCAGATGCCCCCATCTCTAGCGATGCCTCCACCTCTAGCCGCCCACGCCGAGTCCCACCTCTTCACACCTCTTCACGCCGCCGGTCCGTGGAGCAGGTTCGCCAACGGCTCGCCCACACAGATCGCCGTCCCCCCCTCGCCCGGCGGTGCGGCCGCCGAGGGCTCCGGCGAGCAGCAGGGACGGCTTGCAGGCGCCACGTCCGTGACATGTCCGAGACATGTCCCATAGGCTCCGGCGAGCAGCAGGTCAGCAAGCGCTGGTTCTGGGAAATGTACAAGGCGAGACTGAGCGAGAGTTGCCGAGATTTGTGAGCCAACCCGCCAAATGAGTCGGCACCGCCCGCTTGCGCCGACGCCCCTTCGCCCCGCGCCTCTGCTCAGGCGATGATGTGAGGGAGAGCACAGGTGACAGGAGCGGCTGCGCCGGGCCGCGGGGGTTTTGCTAGAAGACAACTAGTTTGGGATGACGCGCCGAGTTGATATTCCACCCGCTTCACTACAAAAAGAAAAGAAAGAGCTCAAATTTCTTTTCCTCGCGATGTCCACCCCGTTGTGCCGCCGCTCGCGCCGCCCCGCCGCCGCCTCCACCGCCGCTCCCACTCCAGACACGCCGCCGCCCGCCCGCCTCCTCGACCTCCCCACGGAGCTCATCGTGCGCGCCATCTCTCGCTGCGACCCCGCCGACATCGCTCGCGTCGCGGCCGTCTCGCTGCTCTTCCACGCCTCGCTTGCGCTGGAGGGCATCCGCTTGTGGGCGCAAGAGCGCGGCTTCGAGCTGCCGGCGCTGCCACAGGGCGAGGGCTGCGCCGTGCGGTGGCTGTGCTATTCGGCACTGCTGTGCGAGTCCAACCCGCCGGCGAGGGCGGCGGCAGGCGCTCGGCACAGCCTCTTCATCGACGGCGAGGGGCGGCTCTCGTCGTGCGGCTCCGCGCCGCAGCACGTCAACGGCCTCCTAGGCCACGGCGAGGGCGTGACGCGGCTCAACACGCCGACCCGCCTCCCGTCGACGCTGGGCGGTGAGCGCGCCGCGAGCGTGTCGACTGGATACGCCCACAGCCTCGCCCTCACCGCCGAGGGCGCCCTCTGGAGCTGGGGCGATGGAGGCCAAGGCCGGTTGGGCCACGGCGACCTGCAGGGCCAGCTGCTGCCCAAGAAGGTCGAGGTCTTTGCTGGCCAGCGCGTCGTCGCCGTGTCGGCGGGAAGCAGCCACAGCGTCGCTCTCACCGCCGATGGCGCCGTCTGGAGCTGGGGCCAGGGAGGCGTGGGCCAGCTGGGCCACGGCGACGGGCAGCATCAGTGGCAGCCGAACACGATCGAGGCCTTGGCTGGGCAGCGCGTCGTCACCGTGTCGGCTGGAGGCGGGCACAGCCTCGCCATCACCGCCGACGGAGCTCTCTGGAGCTGGGGCTATGGAGCCTATGGCAAGCTGGGCCACGGCAACCAGCAGCAGCTGCTGCTGCCCAAGAAGGTCGAGGCCTTGGCGGGGCGGCGCGTCATCGCAGTCTCAGCTGGAGCATGGCACAGCCTCGCCCTCGCCGCCGACGGCGCTGTCTGGAGCTGGGGCGAGGGAGCCTTTGGCAGGCTGGGCCACGGCGATCAGCGCAACCAGCTGCTGCCCAAGAAGATCGAGGTGTTGGCGCAGCGCGTCGTCGCCGTGTCGGCTGCAGACACCCACAGCCTCGCTCTCACCGCCGGTGGCAGCGTGTGGAGCTGGGGCAGTGGAGAGTTGTGCCAGCTGGGCCACGGCGACGGGCAGAACCAGCTGCTGCCCAAGAAGGTCGCGGCCTTGGCTGGGCGGCGCGTCGTCGCTGTGTCCGCTGGGGTCCGCCACAGCCTCGCCCTCACCGCCGACGGAGCTGTCTGGAGCTGGGGCTGCGGAAGGTTTGGCAGCCTGGGCCACGGCGACCAGCAGGTGCAGCCGCTGCCGAAGAAGGTCGAGGCTTTTGCAGGGCGGCGCGTCGTCGCTACGTCGGCGGGAACCGGCCACAGCCTCGCCCGCACCGCCGACGGCGCCGTCTTTACCTGGGGCAAGGGCGAGAGCGGCTGCCTAGGCCACGGAGAGGACCTGTCGAACCAGCTGCTGCCCAAGAAGGTCGAGGCGTGGGGTCCGGGGCAGTGATGAGAAGGGCGAAAGGGTGCACAGGACTGTGCTGCCATGTGCCTCTTCGTCACGTTGCGAACGTCTCCGAGAGTGGGGAGACGCGAATCCGGGACGGTGGAGGTTTGTGCGTGGTCCACTGTTTCCTGCGGGCTGCTGCACGTCTGGGCCTCTTGTTGTTGCTAGGCCGTGATGTGGCTTCCAGAGGGCATGAATGATCGTGTGTCGTACTTCCCTTGGCAAGATTTTTTCTTTTCATCGCGGGCTTGCGAGGCGCGGCAAAGAGATAAGAGTGCTTGTGTGAAAATGATCGTGTGTCCTACCGGGGTTTGGAGCACTTGGAGTGCAGTCGGCAATCGCACATCCAGGGCCGGGGGCTAAAACGGCCTTCATCCACTTTTTTTCTTTTCGCGCTTCTAAAATTCTTTTCCTCGCGATGTCCACCCCGCCGCGCCGCCGCTCGCGCCGCCTCGCCTCCGCCTCCGCCGCCGCCCCCTCGCCAGACACGCCGCCGCCCGCCCGCCTCCTCGACCTCCCCACGGAGCTCCTCGCGCGCTCCATCTCTCGCTGCGACCCCGCCGACATCGCTCGCGTCGCAGCCGTCTCGCTGCTCTTCCACGCCTCGCTTGCGCTGGAGGCCATCCGCTTGTGGGCGCAAGAGCGCGGCTTCGAGCTGCCGGCGCAGCCCGAGGGCGAGGGCTGCGCCGTGCGGTGGCTGTGCTTTGTGGCACTGCTGTGCGAGTCCAACCCGCCGGCGAGGGCGGCGGCAGGCCTGTCTCACAGCCTCTTCATTGACGGCGAGGGGCGGCTCTCGTCGTGCGGCTGTGCGCCGGATCACGCCCCAGGCCTCCTTGGCCACGGCGAGGGCGTGACGCGGCTCAACACGCCGACCCGCCTCCCCTCCCCGCTGGGCGGTGAGCGCGTCGTGAGCGTGGCGGTGGGAGATGCCCACTGCCTTGCCCACACCGCCGGCGGCGCCGTCTGGAGCTGGGGCGATGGAGGCCAAGGCCGGCTGGGCCACAGCGACGAGCAGGGCCAGCTGCTGCCCAAGAAGGTCGAGGTCTTTGCTGGCCAGCGCGTCGTCGCCGTGTCGGCTGGAAGCGAGCACAGCCTCGCCATCACCGCTGACGGCTCCGTCTTTACCTGGGGCAATGGAGCCCTTGGCAGGCTGGGCCACGGCGACACGCAGAACCAGCTGCTGCCGAAGAAGATCGAGGCCTTTGCTGACCAGCGTGTCGTCGCCGTGTCGGCGGGAGGCGGCCACAGCGTCGCTCTCACCGCCAACGGAGCTCTCTGGAGCTGGGGCTCTGGATACTTTGACAAGCTGGGCCACGGCGACGCACAGGACCAGTGGCAGCCGAAGAAGGTCGAGGCGTTGGCTGGCCAGCGCGTCGTCGCTGTGTCGGCTGGAACCGCGCACAGCCTCGCCCTCACCGCCAATGGAGCTGTCTGGAGCTGGGGCTATGGTCACCAAGGCCGGCTGGGCCACGGCGACATGCAGGAGCAGCCGCTGCCCAAGAAGATCGAGGCCTTTGCTGGCCAGCGCGTCGTCGCTGTGTCGGCTGGATACTCCCACAGCCTCGCCCTCACCGCCGACGGCGCCGTCTGGAGCTGTGGCTGGGGAGCCTCAGGCCAGCTGGGCCACGGCGACGAGCAGAGCCAGCTGCTGCCGAAGAAGGTCGAGGCCTTGGCTGGGCGGCGCGTCGTCGCTGTGTCGGCTGGACGTAGCCACAGCCTTGCCCTCATCGCCGACGGCGCCGTCTTTACCTGGGGCGAGGGCAAGGACGGCTGCCTAGGACACGGAGAGGACCTGTCGGACCAGCGGCTGCCCAAGAAGGTCGAGGCATGGGTCTGAACAAGCGTGAGTCTGTAAGGATGCCTGTGTTGACGAGGCCGTTCCGAAGCGCGCGTTTCGTTGTGTCATCTTGATTCCCCACTCCGCGACTTCTGATTGAGTGAGTTTATCTGAATGGCACAGCTATGGGCCCTCCCCATTTGGCGCACGATTCGCGGAGATGTAGAGTATTCTACACTACAGTGAACAGTCTCACCGCGATACGGCTTTTTGGCGGCTTTTTACACGCGACAGCACACGGAATCAGCAGACACACACCGAACGTCGCGCCCGCATGCCACAACGCAGACTTGGACCACACACCGAGACCGACACACACCGACACAACTCGTTCGCGCGACACGCTGCTCACACTCCCCTCGCCGCTGCCCACACTGGCTCTCACTCGGCGGCACGCAAGGAGCGCCGCGCGGTGCGGAGCTCCGAGGCGAGCGGGCTCGGCGGAGGCAGCAGCTTGAGCACTGAGGAGAGGACGCCGTGGTCGGACGGGAAGGTGAGGGTCGGGAAGGGCTGCCTCTCGACGTACGCCTTTTGGCCGGTGTTGTCCTTTGTCGTCGACTCGACGCCAAAGCTGCCCCTTGGGAAGAGGAGGAAGTCCTTCGGGTTCTTGTCGCCGGTGCCCGGCGAGGCAAGGTCCTTGTACGCGACGGCCTTGTTGAGCTGCGGCTGCAGGTAGGTCCGCGCGTTGAAGGTTGTGATGTTCGTCGGGTCGGGCGCGTCGCCCCAGCAGGAGGTGAGGCCGAGCTGGCGGTACTCTGCCGCGAACTCGGAGACGCCCTGCTGCTTCCCGCTGCCGACGGCGTACGTGTTTGCCGTCATCCCGAAGACATGCCGTGTGCCCCCCCGGCTGCTT